TTTTTTGTGTGAATGGGACAGTCGGGCAAAGGCACTTCATTACACCAGACAAAACTGGCCTGTTCGTCAATTCCTAGAGCCAGGTCAAAAAAATGTACAGCATATGCCATTAGTAGATTCGAAAAAAATTTTATTACCACCACTGCATATCAAGTTGGGTCTAATGAAAAACTTTGTCAAGGCATTAGATAGAGATGGGTCAGCTTTTCAATAACTGCGTCAGAAATTTCCAAGACTAAGTGAGGCAAAGGTTAAAGAAGGTATTTTTGTTGGGCCACAGATTCGAAATATTTTGAAAGATACACAGTTTGAAAACACTTTAACAGGTATTGAAAAAACTGCTTGGAATGATTTCCATCTGGTGGTCACTAATTTGTTGGGAAATAGAAAAGCTGACAACTATAAAACCCTTGTCAAAAATATGCTGTCATCGTATCAAAGGATGGGCTGTAATATGTCTCTTAAGATACATTTCTTACATTCACACCTGGACTTTTTTCCTGACAATTGCGGAGCCGTAAGTGATGAGCACGGCGAACGTTTTCATCAGGATATTTCAACAATGGAAAAAAGGTACCAGGGAAAGTGGAATCCTTCCATGCTTGCAGACTACTGTTGGACTCTTGGTAGAGATGCTCCAGAAACGATCCATAAAAGAACAGCAAAAATACAGCGCGTATAGTGATTCTTATAAGTATATGAATCTTGTTGCTTTTTTTAATATATCCTTAAAAATAAAAAGTTTTTTTTCTAAACCGCAACTAATTTTTTTATTTCATTGTCATTTTTGGATTCAGCGCCCCAAAATTAACAAAGAAGTGCACTTTTCCCACAAGATACAATTAAAAAACTAAAATTTGTTGTCAATCCATCATGTATTGTGGGCTTAGATTACGGTAGGATCTTTGTCGGGAAGAAATACATGTCTGGTTTTCTACCTTCAAATTTATTACCTTACATGTGGTAAGAGATCAAGATATAATTGTTTAAGCAATCACTCTTTTACCCAAAATGTTACTGCAGACAAGATGGCTTTTGAAGGGTATTTACAGGCTGAGGCCACCTCAACTGAAATATAGATACTGTAGTTATTCTCAACCAACCAAAGGGGTTGCTGGTAAGCTCTGTAGTTATTTGAATGAGGAAAGCAGCAACACTGCTATCTCTAACCTCAGGTCAGAGTGTGCAAACTAATGTAAACAGACAACATCCGGATTGGGTTGAATAATATTCAAAGTGTCTCGGGGTCACTCATGTGGCAACCACTTTTAGTTTTACCGTATTTCACTTCTTTTGCGATTCTTGCTTATAGTGTTGTATATATTTTTCTGTTTTACCCTTGAACTCATAAACTCACCTCTCATTTTAATTAAATATTTATTTTGAAAACAGGCAGGTTTCGGTTTGTTTATTGCTTGTCCGGTGGGGTAATGACGGTAATCTACCAGTCTGTACCTTTTGTATGCACAAAAATCAAGTCAGGGCAAGTGGGGTAAGGGATGAAGATGTACGTTCGTAATCATAGGCAACCCAAATCTACCCCTCTCATGTGTTCGACTGCCTGAGTGTGTATGCATATGTATGATTGATATGGAGCATAAAACTATGAAGACTACATAAAATTAACTTTTAGCTTTATTTTTGGTTTCAGCTCTTTTTCGGCAAGTATAGAAATATTTAAATTATCTTGAAAAATCGTGGAGAATGATGTTATCGGTAAATATTCTCTTTTTGGTAAAAATACCGAGAAATCCGGTTCAAGTCCATGCATAGACATTCTGAAATTTGCAATATGAATTTATATTCTACATTCTATGCATAACCGTTCATATTCGTCAATATTTCATTTGAAGCCCTTCTTTGTCAAGATTATACGGTTTCCGGCACCAACGATCCACAGGGGACCTCCTAGCTTACGGCACGCAATTGTGGAGTAAACTCATCCAGTCTCATGGTGAGGCTCATGTCGTTGCTCTTGACATCACGAAAGCGTTCGATCAGCTGTGGCACGCTGCCCTCTTAAGCAAACTTCCATCCTATGGCCTCCCAGAAAAGCTTTGCAGATGGGTGGCTGACTTTATCTCTGGCCGCAAGATATCCGTCCTAATTGATGGATTCTCCTCTTCATCCCACAACGTCAACGCGGGTGCTCCCCAGGGATCGGTCTTGGCTCCAACTCTGTTTCTCTTACATATCAACGACCTCCTTTCCTGCACGATCAACCCAATCCACAGCTTCGCTGATGACAGCACTCTACATGCAGGAATTCAGAGTGACAAGCCGATCTCTGCCGCTGAGCTGGAAAAAAGAAGACTAGCGACGATTTCTTCTCTGACAAGAGACCTGGAGGCTATCACTGCTTGGGGACGCAACAATCTTGTACAGTTCAATGCTTCCAAAACACTGTACTTTGACGAACAAAAAGCGTCCTAGCGCTCACACAGTTTCGATGCACGGCCGAGTTTTATCAAAGAGCCATTCATTTCGGCTGGTCGGAGTCCAGATCACCGAGGACCTGATCTGGCACGAACACATCTCTTCAATAGCTGCAGCTGCTGGGAAAAAGCTAGGCTATTTGTTTAGGGCTAAGAAGTACTTTTCTCCGCATGACCTTCTCACTCTATACAAGGCCCAGATAAGGCCTAGCCTCGAGTATTGCTCACACATCTGGAGAGCTGCCGCCACGACTACATTGTCCATGCTCGATGCTGTCCGACTGATTGATGATTCTTCTCTAACAGACAGTCTCGGGACTCTTTCGCACCGGCGGGCCGTCGGCGATCTAGCTCTTTTCTATCGCTACACCAACGGGCTTTGCTCCTCAGAGCTCTCTTCCATAATGCCGCCGCGCGATGTGCCTACCAGACAGACCCGCCTGACTTCGGCGTCCCATCCTAACCGAGTCAAACTTCGTACATCCAGAACTGGCCGATACAACCGCTCCTTTGTCCCGAGGGTGTCTAGATTGTGGAACAATCTACAAGAGGAAGCTTTTCCCAGTTCTACTAACCTTAGGCAGTTCAAAAATCGTATTAACAAAATTTCTTTGGGATCATCATAGCAGCCGCGGTGTTCCGGCATTTAGGCTTCTGCCTGCGTGGCTGTTTCGATATAAAAAAAAAATGTATTGGCTGACCTTCAACGAAGCGTTTTCAGTAAAAAATGCACATTTTAAAAATGAACAAAGTGGTTTTTGAAAAGACATTTGTTCTTGATCAAGATATTCTTTTGTTTGTACCCTCCATGTTGCCGCGTCACTGTAAACGCCTTGATATGACGCTAGAAGGTGTGCAAGCGAAGCATCCGGCTGTAGCATGATGTAATGGAAACTTGGCAAGATTCCTCCGAGCAAAACAAGTCGCTGTGGCAGCAGCAACCGATCCTCCCTTGCTTGGCCTCGAGAGATAACCGAGCGACAACCACTGGACCGAAAAACACGATTTACAAAAAACCTAATAATGCATTATGCCATACGCTGTCTGATGGTCCTGGTCGCTGGCTTCGTGGGTTATTGATTATCCTTCGAATAGAAACGAAAAAAAATACATCGGGGCGCATAAATATCCCATTCTTTTCCGTAAATAAGGGATCCGGTTTCTTTCACTTACTTCTTCTTTGAGGAACGTTACAATCTGGAGTCAGGTTAAGGGCCAGTTGTACAAAACAATAGTAAGCCCGGGCTCACGTCAACTCGAGTCCAAGTTTAATAAGGGTTCAATGACAGATGCGTTGTGCCATCTCAGTTCAACCACAGATGAATTAATGTTTTTTCACATTATGTGTACTTTTATTGCGATCAAACAGTGTTTCGCATGCCATAGAGAATGTAAGGTTGCAAACAGGAAACTAGCGGTATACGTATGATTGTTTATATTTTTTTTTATATTATCATAGCAGATTAATTTTGAAAACATATATCTTGGATGTAAAAATTATTAACCAACAATAATGAAATACATACATACATACAAATTTTGTTCGTGATAATACGCCCAAGCTTTCGATACGCCGTCAAATTAGGTATCTCTTGGAGCCGTAGAGGATGCTTATAAAATTAAATGAGCTAACACCCCAGTTTTTGTATTTATCAAGTAACTATTAAGCGTAGATGCTCATTTCATCAACAGCGTAGACATTTTTTGCATATTTTGTATTTATTAATCCCGGATGTCGTTCATTATTGTTGGATAATAATTTACACATCTAAGTTATATGTTTTCAAAAATTATCAGCTATGATCCGACATGGTGTTTCTGAAATTTCATCTAAGTAATATAAAAAAAAAATATCTATCATAGGTATACCGCTGGTTTCCTGTTTGCAAACTTACATTGTCTATGTCGTGCGAAACACTGATTGCTACAAAAGTACAAATAATGTGAAAAAACCTTTATTTCTCCAAATATAAAAAAAATAATAGCAAAAAAGGAGCTTTGTGGATTTGAACTTCCGTCCTGCGGTTCAGAAATCCCCGTTCTCTCCCATTACGCTACGACGCCTCTCGCTTTACTGAATCTTTATACCGCTACACTTGACACTGACAAATGTCAAGCGAACGTCATGAAGTACTGGACGTTATCCATTACGAGTATATATTCCCCACTTAGGAATTTTTTCTCCTCTTGATGCATGGTCGCACACGTTTCTCCATGTTTCTGGAGTGACGCGATCTAATGCTTGTTTCCATGTGCAATGATTAAACATTTGCCTTTTACAAGTGGTGCTTTTAAGCAACTATCTGTTCCATCATCACATGCTTTCGGTACTGTGTGTGAGCTATGTGTGTATGTTTTGTCATTGTAAACGATATTATTTTTGCCTACAAAAGTTTTTTTTATGGTTAAACGATAAAAACAAATTCTCTTATACCGAAAAACATCATAAATTTTGTCGTCGTCAAGTCGTTTGAAATATATCTACACACTTAGATCTTTGAACTATTTCAGTTTGCCCAAGTATTCTGTCCGTTTCGCTCTGATCTCCGGCTTTTCAATCAGTACCTTCCTGTTATTTTCCAATAGAAGTCCAATTTGCGTACTTCTTTCCAGAATGACGTCAGCTTTAGAGTAAGAGTTACACCATCGTTGATAACAGCATCGTACTCCGCCTTCATTGTAGGTCTCCTTTTATGGATACGCACGAACTTGTAAATAACGTTTCTAATAATTTCTTCATTAAATTGATCCACTGCCGACTTTGGGCTAGATTTATTTATGGTTTTCCGAGGAGAAGTGGATTTTATATTCGGTGATTTGGAGTGATTTTCTTTAACAACACGCTTCACAGTTTTTATGGATACACCTGTAGCTTCAGCTACTTTCTCAAATAAACGGCTAAGAGGTATGGTTAATTCTTCTGTTTCCTCTTCTCACTTCATATATTCAAACACATTGAATGATAATTTGTCGTCCTTGGCTATGAACAACTTTCTTATTATTTCGTTCCCTATTTTTGAAAAATATTTTTTTATGCAATGTTTCATCTGCTAATTTATAGTAACTTACATTTTGGCTGCCAGATCTACTGGTAGTCTTGAAAAAGACTGGGTTGTAGTTTTTAGGATAATTAAAAATAATACCCCTGGAAAAATTATAAGAACGCCTATGTTACGCTGATGTAACTCGTTCGACGTCCAAGAGCAGAATAGACAGAAAAACCTATATGTTTTTACCTAATCTAGTAGAGTTTCCAGTGTATTGTTTCTGAATTCTGCGCATTCAAGGCCACAGCTCACGAGATTCTGAGTTACCTCTACCTGCTGAAGGCATCTGAATGTAACCTGACATCGCCATAGGAGCGCCTAATGATGACGTTGCAGTAAGTATTCGAATCAGTACATTTGTGCATGATTGACTAAAGATACTGAGGTTATGGTCATTTTCTTAATTCATGGTCACTTCTTAAAATAAAGTTCAATATATTGAACCTTTCTTTAAGAACCAACCAATCGGATCAGTAGTCAGTAACGTTGGTCAGGTTATCGCTACATCTGGAATTGGAAGATGGGTACTAGCCATCGGTATTGTGCAAACGTCGATAGTCGATATTTATACCGAGATGTTCGATGTATTTTATATCGCTGCTTGGGCAAATGGTTCGTGAATAGTTGTACTTGGAAGAAAAATGATTTGCCCTTGCTTACGCATGATAGTTTAGAGCTGAAAATCGGCGGCTTGATTATAAAAATCAGAAATGTATGTTAAAAATTGTAATAAATAAAGTCGGTGGTCATGTTTACTTCATCCCATAACAAAGTGCTTATAGGGTCCGATTAAAGATGACATGGCCACGCAAGACAACTGTTGAAATGTATTCTACAAGACTCTAGAAGACATCCGTAGCGAAATTTTTGCCGAAATTGTTACAAAATCAACATGGTCCTAAATTGCTCCCTTACCAAGATAGAGGATGTTGAAAGCGAATAAAACAATATTGATGGAATGGATTAAGATATGCTCTTGAAATTTTGTGCATGTAGTATCATACCTGATAGATACAAACATTTTCGTGTCTGAGACTGCACCAGTGGTGTAGATGTTGGGAAATTATAGCCCCTACAGAAGAAAAAAGAGAATTTAAATCTATACCACGCCCCCCCTCATGACATGTTTTTCCAAAACCTCACAGAATAGTGTGAAGGTACTTTGTCGCAAACTATGAACCAGGTGTGCACCTGGCCAATCTTGTTAATTAGCAGCCCACAAAATATGTAATCTCTTTTGACGTTTATTGAGGTAAACAGATGAGTGGCACGTAACTTCTTTTTGTGACATCTGTACTCTTGGTAATAACCAATCTGGTAAAACCCAGGACCAAATTAAGGACTGGTGTTTGGTATCACCAATGAAAATTTGTTTTGATTGGGAATTTATACATATGTACAGAACAGTATCATCTGAAAGGGCGTGGTGAGATGCCTATGTTTTTGTTTACTGTTTACTGTCATTTTTTTTGTTTCACAGTGTCAACATTTCTGGAGGAGACAGTTGGAACGAAGATCATCATTTATTTTATGCATACCAAATAAATTGTCAGTGATATCAGGAGTTTGTTTCCTAGTTTGAAGAAACAATTTGTTTTATACGTGTTTTTTTTGTTGAGGACAATTTTATTTGCTTTCACCCATAAACAGTGTGTGCAATATTGTTTTGATTCACTTATCAGATAGGTTATATTTGCATTTCAGTCTTTCTCATAACTACAGATGTATTTTTTGTTATTTTAGTATTTACGTTCCCGCGATAAATATACATGATCAATTAACAAGAGATAGTGCTTGCATGATATTGCACTAATTAGGTTCATAATATAGAGAAAAGTCCAGATAGGTAGAATACTTCCATGTACAATGTAATGTAATGAAGAATTTGTTCTATTATTGCTGGGACTGCTCAATAAATATTTTTTTAATTATACATTTTTTTTATTATCCTGAAATTCATTACTAGCCAAACTGATGAAAGAAATACTTCCTTTATTGAGGATCTGTTATGCATCTATGATCATCGAACTGTCTCAATATAGCGTCGTTCGTGCAACTACCTGGCGCGTGCAGAAAAGTATCACTATCCGCACTTGTTACGTAAATAACTATTTTATTCAGCGACTTGAGCGTTTAGTCTTATATTTATTTCGAGTTGATATTATTTTTTACTAATCACCAAGTTAAATAAGTATCGATTCCAGAAAAGTGCCGCCTAATTTTCTACAAAGGAATAGTCGCTGTTGATAGAGCTGGTTAAAAAATACAAACACTTCATCGAATACAAGAAGTGAAGTCCAAAAAAAATGAAAACTGAAGCATGGGTTGTGAAATACAACTCCAAGAAATCTTCTCCATCAGTAATTTGTTCAACAATATTCTCCATTTAACATTATACGCAACATAATCTAAAAACTGATAAACACGTGTCAACTTTGCACCGATTTTATCATATACCTATAAACATCTGTCCTTATAATGTCCGAGAACTTGTAGCGCTAATTTTCCATTGAACGAGGTTCAAAGTTGAACTTGTGTTAGTACAACCGGCCCAAAAAGGTAGAGACTTTGCCCATTCTAGCTCTATGTGTTTGTGAACAGGATGTCAGGAGGGGTCTTCTGGCAGTGCAAATCTGTCCAATCTGGATGCCTTTTAACAAAATTCAGGCTGTAATATCTGAAACTTATGCTGTGCCACATGTTTATCCGGCCGAATCAAACCACATATGTTTAAACAATTTCTGATTATTGTACTTGAAGGAGGTCATTGTTAAGACCAACGCATCTTACAATAAAGAGGAATATTGTAAACATATTTGATTTGATTTGGCTAGGGATTATAAAATACAGGCTGATTAAAAAAACAATAGCTATATTTCCAGCAGGTGTATCTTGAAAAGTGACATTATGTCGTTTTCTTTTGACATTACTTGTGTAACGTCATGGCGTTTGAGCAGCACATAGATGCTTAGTGAGGATTTGTGTGTTAATAATCTGTATTGATGATATTTCCTTTATTTCTTGTCTCAAATATACATACTGTGGATGAATGCTTCATCCTAGAAATTATATATGCAAATTTGCTGAACTAGAAAGATGGGAAAGATATTTAGAAAAAGAAAATCTCTGGTTGGTGATGTATATTACAACTCACAGGTAAGAAAATAGGTTACAGATAGGAATTTCTATAAAATGTGTAAATGTTCATACATTTAGCATTATGTTAAACTTGATAAACATCTATTTTGTGATGTCAAGTAGAAAATAAAAATTAGCGCCTAGATGTAAGGCAATGCAAAAATGTTTTATGTGTGATGCGTCATTCATATTTTTTCTATGATATGGCTTAATTACACACAAAATTGGAGAAAATCGTGATCTATAACTTAGAAAGTAACATCCCTCCAAAAAGGACAACACAAATAACTCGATTGGTACAGCTAATAGATATACTTCATGGGCAGCATATTCAATCACCACATAATCATCCAAACACGATAATTCTACTCTACTACTCAACCAATTTTCTTTCTGTCACATCTTTTTAGAGGTATACCCTACACGGCATTCTGCAACCAACAAAACATGCTGCCGCAATAAATTGCAGCATGTCGTTGAGTTATTGGTCCATAGGTGATGCTATAGGTGACCCTCACAGCGCTCATAGTGAGCAATAGCGGGATGAACTATATAGGTACTTAGGTGATAACCCTGCGGAGCAGAAAGAGCACCCATCAGCAAAGTGTGCCACTGACGAGACTTGATGAGGACAAAACACGAATATAGCTTTAATAATACTATGGCAAGACTTGAGTACCTTTCTTACACATTAAATAAAATTTTCGAGGGCGAACTTCATCCCGTTGTCAAAGTAAAGGGTGGGTCTAACTATTGGTCATTTGTTTGTCTGGGCGGTCCGTAGGACCTTTGCCCATTAGTCACTGTCTGATGTACGTTAGTCGAATCTGTCAGTCCTGGTTGCCCAGAAACCAAACAAAGTCAAGGAAGTAAAGGGTGGGTCATCAGTTGGACTTTTCAAGTAGGTATTATTTTGACAGCTGATAACACTTCCATGCTCAACATATTGACAGATATATTATGTCAAACTTCCGCTGTGAGCAATGGATCGTTTCATTCTTGAACAAAGGTGGGAAATATTGGAAAACTGTTTTCAGAGTGAGTGCTGAGTTGCAGAAACTTTGCGAAAATTGAGAAGACTGTTTGGTCGGAATGAAACTCCGTCCGCAACTGGTATACGAAAATTCCTTAAGAAGATTCGTGAAACTGGCTCGCTTGTGGATAACAGAAGGTATGAGCGTGTTCGACCCTTACGTACAGCCGAAAACATTGCTGCTGTTACCCAGAGTGTGCGTAAAAACGCAACAATGTCAACTCGTCACAGAGCACAACAAGTAGGGATCAGTCGCACTTCTGTGCTGAAAATATTGCAAAACGACATGGGATTATTTTCTTACAATGTGCAACTTGTGCAAGAGTTGAAACAAAATGACCATCTGCTTCGACATCGTTGCTCTGTGTGGGCTCTAAGTCAATTGGAAACGAACGTCAATTTTGGTCGCCAAATCATCTTTTTTAAACGGGCAACGCTATAGAGTCATGTTGAGGAGTTT